TGTTTGTTGGCCTTTAGGAGTGTTTTCCAGTCCAGTCTGTTGGGGCACCAAGCCCTGAGCCCAAAGTCCACCTTCGGGATTCCCTGGGGACCTCGCTGCTCTGTTCCCTTGCTATTCGGTTGCACCCCCTTCGTGTTTTGCTTCAGTGTGGCGGGATCAAGTCAGGCTCAATTCCCACACTGTGTCTCCTGTGTTGTTTCCTGTAGGGCTTTGGGTCAGTGAGGGACGTCATGTCTCATAGTGCGGCCGGCCATGTGGTCCTCTCTGTAGACTGGCTGCTCTGAGTAAGAACATCGTCCTCAAAGCCTGATGGGCCAGGATGTGCTCCACTCTCTCCTCCTACCCCTTCATCTGCTCCCGTGTGTTCCAATCAGACATGTGTTTACCAATTCTTTGTGATATACAGTACCCTGTGTATTCCTTCGATCATGATTTGATTCCTATTTTTTCATCTATAGAATCCTCCTTCATTCTTTAAACTTGAGGCTAGAGTTTTTTATTTAGTTCTTTCCCGTTGAGTAATGCTGAGCATACTCATTTGGTTTTCTAACGCAATCATTACAATTTTCTGTTTAGTTCTTTTATGCCGTCATTTTTTCCATAACTTTAGCTACCCTATGTTCAAAAGCAATTTAAAGATTCTCTTCTGACTACCATGTTGGTTTTCTCTTTCTTTCCTTTGCTGTGTTTTAGTGGCCTTATGCTTTCTTCACGTCTAATGTCCATGATGTCATCCCACAACTCCTTTGCTCTTCAGTCATTAGTGTTCAGTGTATCAAATCTGTTTTGGGGATTGTGTCTAAATCCAGGTGGAATATATTGAAGATTGTACTTTGGCTCTCAGACTACTTTTAGTTTACTTCAGCGTCAATGTGAACATGTATGTGAGCAATTGATGGCCTGTTCTTTGAACCCTGACCTTGTTCTCACTGAAGATTTTTGAGCTTATCCCTTGTCTCTTACTACAGATATAGTCAAACCTATTTCATGTGTATAGTTGTTGTTTATTGTTGTTGAAAAAGATATTTTTAATGAGTAAATTGTTGGTCTTTTAAAGTTGTATTAGATATTATTGAACATCAAATCTCTTATCAAGACCATATTTTTCAACTACTGATCCTTTTTCTTTCCAAGTTTGTTTCTAATCACCAGTAATCATCAATGCACCATAATTGCATGTTTGATGTATTTCAGACTGCAGAAATTGGTAAAAAAAATCATTTTCATCATCTTTGGCATTAGCTGTTGGTTCATAAATTTGAATAATAGTCATAATAACTAGTCTTCCTTATAGGCATATGCATATTACTTTTATTGACAGCATTGTACTTCAGTATAGCTCTTAAAAGGTTCTTTTGATAATGTAGTGCTGTACTCTTCGATTTGTCCTTTCTGGAACAGTAGACCCTATGATTGCCCAATTCAAAATGGCTAATACCAGTCCATTTCAGCTCACTAATTCCTAGAATATCAATCTGCAAGTCTATTTCATTTTTTCACAACTTTAAATTTTCCTTGATATTTTATGATATTAGAGTTATTCAATAGCAAATATGATTGTTATAAGTGAGAAATGATACTTATAGTTAATGCAACTTGCATAAACTTAGCCATTGGGATTATAATGGTAAATATAATTCATAGTAATATAGGTCTCTGTTTTTTCTTTTCTCTATTTTAGCTAAGTATGAGAATGATGCTAGTAAATATTGGAACACATTTTACAAGATCCATAAGAATAAATTTTTCAAGGATCGTAATTGGCTGTTGAGGGAATTTCCTGAAATTCTTCCAGTTGATCAAAAAACTACAATAAACACCAGAGAATTATCCTTGAATCATGTAAAAACTAATATGGCAAGTTGCTTCTCAAGAATGCACTGCTCTCCACCTGAAGATAAAAATCATGACAAGAAAAGTGCTGGCTGGTCAGATGGTCAGAGCTGGGCAGGATTTGATTTTTCCATCCAAGCCTCCAAGGAGAACAGAAAAGACCCTCTGAAGACAGACTCGTTTCCTGGTAGCAGTGCCACTTTCAGAATACTGGAGGTATTGTACTCTAAGGGGGAGCTGGCAAACATTTTATGTTCCATTTGATTTATTAATAGTCCGTGTATTCTAGGGGGAAGATAATCAAATCTAAGTAAATAAGTGTTCAGTAGACTTTGGTGCATGAAAAATATTTAAAGGTCTCATATCTTTAATCAAGTTTTACATTTGTGATTTTGTTTTGCATTCTCATTCACTTGTATCAATTCCTAACTTGAGGGCAGTTTTAATTG